TTGCTCTGGTATCCCCAGTACTACAAAGAGAAACCTAATAGAATGTCAGTGCCTGCTAAATGATTCATTTAGTAACAGGTAAATAACAAGTTAGTATGCACTGTTATTATTCTTAGAACTTTTCTTGAGTTTCAGGGTTTGGAAAGTTAAAGTAAATGGGCAGAAAATTAGCAAGTAAACAGGCTAATCTCACAACAGCTCACAAGCTAATAGGAATGGTTTTGTTGAGCGCTTTTAAGTCACTAATTTGAGATGTCACTAATTGAGATTGACTTTCCCTCACACCCACACAAGTCATTAGGAACAGTGTGGGAGAGCATAGGGTCAGCAAGTCACAGGCATCAGACAGATAAGTCATGACCTTGGACTAAGCTAATCCCTTTACTCGCCTCAGCACATTCTCACCTGAGCTTAGGGCAAGTCCTGTGTACATTAGTGCTCCACTCATTCCTGCTCTCCTGTGTGTCATTGTTGACTGTCCTCATTTGCTCCTCCTCACTTTGTTAAGGTAGGGTCGCTAAACACAGGGCTTGCTTCTTTGGTAGGTTTGGTCTTGAACTTGCACTGAGAATCAGTCTCTACCCCTGCAGTGCTAGGATCACAGCAGGCACCACTTTACCTGGATGCTATGGATCTGAGCTCTGGTCCTCACACTTGGAGTGCAGGTGCCTTGTCCACTGAGTTGTCTCCCCAGCTCCCAAGTCTTAATGATCTATTTAGGGAAACTATATAGCAAAAATGGAAACACTTATGCACATTATCTTTTTAGATATGTACAAACTGGCCAGATGGTAGGCTGTAATTTTTTTAAGTAGATCCTTACATCTTTAACTTGAGTGTAAAATTTACGATGACAGATACTTGAGGTGATCAGTGCCCACCTCTTTGTAGTCCTTGCTCTGGAAGTTCAAGTAGAAGACATCCCAGAGGACTCAGTAAAAACTAGGTTCCATATTTGAAAATGCGACAGATGAGGAACAGTCTCACTGTCTTAAGCACTACCTTGTATTCTGTTTCTGCTTCCTCCTATGGCTCAGGTCTGAGAAATAAGACTTCACAGTAGTTCACAGGACCTGAAGCTGCCTTGCTCCGGGAGCACCCGGCACCTCACACGTGGGGGTGCCAGCTTCCCACCTGTCACTGTTTGCTCCTAGTTCTCTGTCCAGGGCCAGCCTACTTCAGAAGCTACTTTTTAATAACCATGCCCAGTATTGATAATGCCATTTTTGTGGGACTACAGGGAGAATGAAGGTGAACAAGAGTGTGATTGCATTAAGTGCAGTTGCATGAGCAAGGGTCTTGTTAACCTTTATCTTGGCTTTCCTTTCTAGAATATTTCAGTTTACGTATATGTTTGCATTTGGAGAGTTTAGTCCTATAGAGTGACCACTTCAGAGACGTCACAGAATAGTTCAGAGAGCTTGCAGTATACTCTGTGCCCTCACGTACTGAGCTATTTGTAGTGTTATATTGTGAGACTGTCCTTTTTCCCAGTTAGACATTTACCTTGCCTGAAATGCTTGGGACCATCAGTGTTGCAGCTGCTTACACGTAATGATAGCTTGTGGAGAAAAGTTGAGTCTACACATAAAATTTATTCATGTTTCCTATTCATCTTACACACAGTTGTAGAGCAGCCAGAACTGTTTTTAGTGCACTTGTGTTTTGATGGTAGCCTAGTCATGAGGTCATACATAAAACTCTCCTTATATTATAGTGTAGGAGTGATCAAAAAGCACTGGAATTTATTCATTCATTCATTCGTTTGTTTGTTTGTTTATTTATTTATTTGTTTTCAAGACAGGATTTCCCTGTGTATCCCTGGCTTTCCTGGAACTCACAGCCTGTCTGTAGACTAGGCTGATCTCAAACTCAAGAGTTCTGCCTGCCTCTGCCTCCCAAGTGCTAGGATTAAAGGTGTGCCCCACCACTGCCCGGCTAAAAGTGCTGGTTTGGGAGCACTTTGATTTCCACACTGAATGGTTCCCCATTAATGATTATGGCCTGTAACTAAGGACTTGCCTTAGTCTGTCCAAATTTGACTTCTTGAGCAATTATTTCTGATGGTTTAAATTTTGAATGACTAATCAATAATGACAAAGTCCACTAGACTATATATCATCTACACTTCACTAACTTATGATTCTTGTTATCTATAAAATGTATGGAATTAAAAGGCCTTATAATTATTTACCCTTCTTCAGATGTTTATTGCAGTCTGGAGGCAAGATCTTCCCCCAGTACGTCTTGATGCTCGGGATGCTTGTGGAGTCGCAGACACTGGTAGAAGAGAGCGCTGTTCAAGGAGCAGAGCACACTCTTGGGTTAAACATAGCACCTTTTATTAACCAGTTCCAGGTAAGCTTGTGGAGAACCGTTCAGCCAAGACCCTGCTGCCTCCTATTATCATTGTCTCTCCTTTGAATTTTTCTTAGTCAGTGGGCCTAGCTGGATAGAAAGAGGCAGTTTCCTGGAGTAAAGGAACATGTCACCCACGAAAGCCAACCTGAGAGGCAGAATAAGCAAGGATTTTTGTCAAGAATACTGACTAAAGTTTACAGATTGTCCTCTGAATCACCTATCACAAGATAGAGATGACTAAGCTATTTCTGTGCATGGTCCCAAAATGCTATCATCCATCTTTCTATTATGATAAAAAAAGAATTATTTACTTATTTTAGTGTATAAGTGTTTGTATGCAGGTGTGTCTTGTGTGTGCATTGCTCATGGAGTCTAGAAGAGGAGATGAGATCTCTGGGAACGAGAACCACCACGTGGGTGCTGGGTGCTGAGAGCTGAGCGCAGGGAATCTGCCAGAGTAGTGTGTGCTCCCAACTGCTGGGTTCTCTCCACCCCATCTTCCTGTTTTATCCCCACTTGCTCTGACTCTTCAATTCTACCAGTCACCGTACACTGGGCCTGCTGCCTTTTCACTGCGCTCCCAGCTATGGCCACTCTTTCCTGAACAGCTTAGGTTTTGTGCTCTGTGTATTTTCATGTAATTTAGATGGTAGACCCCATTCCTGCTCTTGTGTAATCCTGCCTTGGTTAAATCCCAGCTACTGTGTGTCTATGTAAACCCTACAGTTGGCCCTTAATTATCTAAAGAGACTCTATAACCCTTGTTGGAAGATTTATATAGTTTTTAATCTATCTCTTTGTCTATCTATCTGTCTGTCTATCTATCTATCTATCTTTCTTGCATGGTTTCTCTATGTAGCCCTGGTTGTCCTAGAACTCACTCCATAGACCAGGCTGGCCTCAAAGTCACAGAGATCAGCCTGCTTCTGCTTCCTGAGTGCTATGATTGAAGGTTTATGCCACCACTGGCCTGTCTTGGCAGTTTTTTATTTTATAGACTGTTTACCCATTGCCATAGGCATTATCTCCACTCGTACTATGATGGACTACTAGGTAACTGAATCAATGAAACAATCAGAGATTGTTAAAAGACAATATAGTATGTTAAAAACTATTCAACTTGTTTATTGAGCATCTTCTACATTTGCTATTTTATTTAGCTTTATTTTTGAAGATAGGGTCTAATATATAGCCCCATGTGCTTCAATGTGTGACCAAGGATAACCTTGGCCTTGCAGTGGTGGCACATGCCTTTAATCCCAGCACTCAGGAGGCACAGGCAGGAGGATCTCTGTGAGTTTGAGGCCAGATTGAACTCCTGCTCTTCCTGTTTCTGTCTTCCAAGGCCTAGGATTACAGATGTATGCCACCATTCCCAAATTATGCATATATATATTAAATATTCATTGCTACAACAAAGTACCTGACAAAAGCATCTTAAACTAGGGTTTATTTTGAATCGGAGTTTGAAGGAACACAGTCCATCATGGCAGAAAATTTCTACCTCTTACCCTTCTATCAAAAATAAGGTGAAAGGTTTGTGTTTTTTGGGTTTTGTTTTGTTGGACCCTAGAGTCCAATTACCGAGGATGAGTCACCCCAAGAAAACATTCACACCACAGTTGATGTAAAAGCAGGAGGATTTTAATTCTGTCATAACAGGGTCACTCAGCATTCAAGCTAAGGACCCCAAATAGCTGGTACAGGCTATATTTAAGCAAAAAGCCACAGAAACAAGGGCCAGAACTTGGGGGTTGTTCTTCAGCTATTAAGATTGACTGAGTCAAAGGGCTACTAGCAATGATTGGTCTGAGCCATGGCGAGAGAGTAGTTGCTAGATCAGGCAGAGTAACAGGGAGTCATCCTAACCGTATCTGAGGAACTGAGTCAATATCCCCTGACCAAGGCTGAGGAACTGAGTCAACATCTAAGGGTTGTCTTGCCCTAGTTCCAATAACTGAGTTCTATCTGGAGAACATCCACAAGGACACAGGGAGATGGAAATTCCCCAACATTCCAGTACATGCATGTGTAGTTGTTAAGTCCTTGGTTCCCAGGGGAGGGAGGGGCACTACTGCTGAGAGGCCTCAGAAATGGCCTCAGAGTTGTCAGAAATGGCTTTAGAGTTACCCTAGAGTTTTACAGTTTGATTTTTGTTTTTCGTTTGTTTGTTGGTTGGTTGGTTTCATTTAGTTGTTTTCTTTTGAATTTTTTTTTTTTTTTTTGAGTCATGGTCTTTCTACATAGACCTGACTGTCCTGGCACTCACTATGTGGACCAGGGTAGCCACCTGCACCTGCCTCTTTCCCTCCTTCCTGAGTGCTGGGATTAAAGGTGTGCACCACCATGCCCAGAAATAATTTGTGTTTTTAAGAACAGCTTGTCTGAAGGGTCTTTTGTAGATTTAACATTTCCGATTGCCAAAGTGACCACTCACTTTTTTCTATTTTAAAAACCTGTTACGAAAAAAAGCTCAATTCTCAAAATTTGTAGTTTCCATTTTCTCATGTTTGGTTATATTCATGCAGACCATAAATGTCTAGACTCATTGTTTAGCAACTACAGTTGGTAAAGCACACAGATCAGCAGCAAAGTGTAAATAGTGTATTGCTTCTAGTCTTGCAAAGAAAGAATTTACAGGCAACCATGTTTAAATTGTCTTAAGATGGTAAGCTGTCTAAGCAACTAAAGAAATAATTGAGTTGTGTACCACGATTTTCAGAATAAAAATAATCATTCTAATTTTTCAGAATCCCATGTGATTTGAACTGTGCCCTGTTGTCTGGGACTAGGCACTATCAGTAAACGTGGCAGAACAGGTTCTAGTAATCCAGTGACATGGTTGATGTCGCACTAGGAAAACAATTCACCTTTGCCTTTCTTGCAGTTTTTACTGACTTTTCAGTCACTTAGTTCCTATAGAAAGGTTTTCCAGGCTTGCAACTATTCTCACGTTTTTGTTTCTCTAGGGGCATAGTTCATTCTGTTACGCTTGTATCATGTCTTTAGAATGAGTTTTCCATTCTCTTGGGGGAAAGTGAGTATTAATGTTGCTTTGCTGATTATGAAAGTTTGTTTCTTGGAACTGGTTAAATTCATCTCATAAATAACAAGAGTGGTTATGTGCAAAACTATGATTGGCATGTTAGATAGCAAATGAGACTGTCGAAGGCATGTGCTACTTTGGAAGCAAAGTGAATGTGTGTACAGAAGCTTTCAACATTGTTATACAGTGGTAGTATGATGCTATACTATTGGACCAATAGCAGCTCTTTTTTATAAACCGATGCACTATTACAAGTTTTGTAGTATTTCATTTATAAACTGCTTCCACACATATTTACCTGTTACAGTTTTCTCAGAGTGTCATAGTATGTCTTCCAGAACTTCAGTGTATCCTGACAGTAAATAGTCCTAGCTTTTGGAATTTTCTGTTGATTTCTTTTTCATTATCTATGGCATATAGCAATTGAAGAAGA